CGAGACACAGGACAGCAGCTGTGTACTCGCTGCTGTGCTGCTGTGGATGGTGAACGCGGTCTAGTTGCTGCGCTGTTGTTGTGCATATGTGCGGTGCCCCCGGTGTGCATTTCCAAACGCAATGAACCGATCGCGTCCACGTTCGGAAATGCTCATCATTTCCAAACGCATGGCCGGTTGGAAACGTGAAATCGAAAATGTTCAGGCGGAAAAGTGTCATTTCCGATCTTATAAGAAACAGTTTTTGGTCCGAATTTGGAAATCCACATTTTTGAACTGCATTTCCGAACGTTNATCGCGTCCACGTTCGGAAATGCTCATCATTTCCAAACGCATGGCCGGTTGGAAACGTGAAATCGAAAATGTTCAGGCGGAAAAGTGTCATTTCCGATCAACAGTTTTTGGTCCGAATTTGGAAATCCACATTTTTGAACTGCATTTCCGAACGTTAAAAGAAACCGCCTGAGTACCAAACTTCGACGTTAGCACCGTTGACGAGGGAAAGGGACGGCTGGATGGACCCTTCTCGCGATAAAAATTCAGCACGCACCGCAGGAGGAAGGTGTGGCATGAAAAGAAATAAAAAGAAAAAAGCCCCGGTGTTTACCCCCTCCCCTCCTGTGTGACCCTGGATGGTTGTAGTTGTACGAAAAAATACGCTGAAAAGTGTCGTACTCTACATACTACGCTGAAGGGTGTAGTACATGTCTCACCAAATGGGGGGACTGTCGCCATTAAAAATAGGACGAAACACACAACACACATTTTTTATGAGTTCTTCATACTTTTCTGCAACACGATGATACACTGTAGGCTACCAGTTTCTTCCGCCAGACATATTGACACCCTTTCATCGCTGCCGTGAAAAAAAGAAGTGGGGTGTTCAAGGTCGTAGGGGCTATTAGTCTACATGTACCACGCCGTTGCTCTCTCCTCTGACCCCTAGGTCATCGATCAACTCCACGACAACCACAAGCCCGTTCCGTACACCATCAACCTATCCGCGACCCTTGCTACAGGAGGCGAGACCGTATCTACCAATACCGGTAAATCCCGCAAACAATCCAAACCATCCCCCAAGAAGGGAAAACCTTCGCCCAAACCCAACGGCAAGGGCACGGAACGCAAGGTCACTACCCCCCGCCCTTCTGCCCATGACGAGCCGATGCTGACGACGACGTGACTGCTGAACATGCTGTCCCCATCGACGGCAATCACGACGACGACGACGACGCCATCAAGGATCAACTCGAAGACGGAGTGGAAGAAGTGGACAACCTCGAAGAACACGGGGGTGGGGAAGAGGATACCGACGAAGAAGAGGAGGAGGAAGAGGAGGAGGAGGATGAAGAGGAGCAGGAGGAGCAGGAGGACGAGGAAGAAGTGGAGCAAGATGAAGAACACGAACAACAGCACGACGACGACGAGTACAATATAATGGCACTCACGAACATTTCCTATTTTCATGCGGTGACTACACCCACGAATGAGCTCCGTTCCCAGCTCCGATGACTCTTAAATGCGATATTTATCGAACCGAATTGAGCCCGATTTGAGCTGTGGATACCTGCGTCGACGAGGGCTGGGCTGGACGAGTAGACCGTCGAAAAGGAACAAAAGAACGGCGGGGACTGCAGCAGTAGCATCCCCTAGACAAAAAAAAAAAGCTTGGGAAATGCAACGTTGCTGAGGACCCAGCCTATCGTATACTTCTATAACAACCGTCCGTTGTTTAGTCATATACTGTACCATAGCACCCAGCCAATGGGATATGACAATAATAATTAGGTAGTTATTGTCATCTATTCCATTGCACCCAGCCCGCGCTGTGAAAGAGACCGCAGGCGGGTTCCGCGGTAAAGCCGAATTTATTTGGGGGGGACGGGACGGATCGTCACCATCACCCCCCCAACCCTTGAAAATTTAATACAATGATCCTTGATCATACTTATGATGATATGCAAAATTTTAAAAACAAGCTCGATGGTAGTGGCCGGGTATCAATGGATTATGCTCTTTTTCGCTCGCCAATTTGCGAAAACGCACCGACCGGGGATGGTGCCAAAATATCCCCGTTTTTGAAAAATCGTCAGATCGATCTGAAAAATTCAGGGTTTGTCAATTTTGGGGCGGGGGTCACGAATCCGTCGTTTTAATTGTTTTTCTCGCATTCTGAACAAAGTTATGATGGGTGTTGTACGTTACATTTTTCTCGCCGCCGCCGATTGAAGCACAACAGAAAAACTGCAAGTTTACAAGTCGCAACACGCACAATCTCCACCAAACCACGCGCTTATCTTCACAAAAATACAGCAAAAATGCAAACCAAGACCACCTAGCCCCTCGAACAATATCTACTTGCTGCTACCGCAGAGTGAGACCCCAAACTGTGTACCGGTAACCCTGTCCATCTGACAGATGGTCGCCCCCTTCCGGACAACAATTTTCTTCGCCTTCTTTTTGCTCCCGACCACAGGATCCACCCCCACCACAGGATCTACACCAGTGACCATGATGACTGTCTCCTCTACTACCTGCTCTTCGAGCTTCGTGCCGCAGGCCGGGTACTTAGCCCCTCCCTCTTCGGGCACGCTGCCCTCTTCCTCCTCCCCAACCTTCCTCGCCGTGAGCTTAACCATTTCCGTTCCCGCCACCTTCCCCGTCGCTCCTCTTGGTCCGGGAGTGGAAGTAGTACGCCTTCTCGTCGATTGCCTTTTATGGAGGGAGCTCAGGCCTCAGCGCTGTCACCCGCCGTCAGGCGGCGACGAGGTGCTCTGGGTGAACGCCAAAGATCTCGGACTTGCGCTTGGCTGTCACCTTCGAAGGCCCGTCTCCATCGTACGCAACAGCCGTGAGCAACGTCTGGAACGTTCTCCTTCCCTCTTTGGTTCGCCCTTGGATTGCGGCATCCTTTAAGGCTCTACGACATGCCGATTGGAGCTCCCTCGCTTCCTCCAGCTGCTCTCGAAGCTTGTCAGCGGCGGGCACCTTGAGCTCTGCCAGACACCGCAACAACTCTGTTGTGGTCATCGCTCTCATGGCCGCCACGAATGCTGGCGAGGTGTCACTCCACTCGAATTGCTCTGGTGGCTGGAAGGTCTGAGCGGCAGCGTGGGTCAAGTTCAACGTACAGCAGTGGGGGCATTTGGAAACGTCAGCGCTGGGGTAGCAGCAGAAGAAATCAAGAATGAAAGCCTGTGGTTCAATGTTTACTTCGATTCGAATACCAAATCAACACTCGCCGTAGACAGCAATCGGAAGTTGCGCCAGTGGTGGCATACAACGCATCGAGCGAGAGCAATCCACAACTCTGGAGGTAGAGAAGAAGTCTCGCATCACAGCGAACACTCGTTGTTACCTTCAGCAGTCGGCAGGCATCTACGGTAGAGAGAGCAGACAGCAGTCTACAACCAAAGGGGTACCAGTACATGCAGGCAACCTTTCAGTTTTGTTTTCCCATACAGCAGTACCCTCAAGGTTGTTGTTTTTTCATCTAGTACAACAGAAGAGGAGAGGGGTTCAAGAGGGGATAGCGAGAGAAAGACAGACAGACCCAGCAGCACCCAGCAGCAGCAGATTCTTACCTCTTCCTCAGGGGGGCGATCGGGAGTAGTCGGCCTTGTAACGCCAGCACGAGTCTTCCGCGGCAACGCCGCTCTCACTGGACAGCCCATCTCGCTGTCTGCCCTCCTGCCGGTGTTGCCGTATCTTCGCACGCCGCTGCTAGGCTGCAGTGTTTTTTCGTATCAGTCCCTTCTCGTCTTCAAGATTTCCTCGGCCTTTTCCCTAGCTTTCGAACATAAGGAATCCTCGTCATCCTTGGGGTAGGCCACAAGCTGTACGACAACGCGGGTATCCTTCCGCTGGTCCATCAGCTTGGTGGTGAGCTTGAGGCCTAGGTCGTGTGGAACCCATTGGTGCGTTACTTTCCACTGCTTGTCTCCCAGCGGTACGATGCGGATGCAGTTGCCCGCTGGGATGCCAGCTCCAGCCCCAGCCCCACTCATATATGGCCCCCTCCCGCGGCCACTTTTGGTCAGAGCAACTTTCTGAGTGGCTCTACCCNAGGATGCAGTTGCCCGCTGGGATGTCAGCTCCAGCCCCAGCCCCACTCATATATGGCCCCCTCCCGCGGCCACTTTTGGTCAGAGCAACTTTCTGAGTGGCTCTACCCCCCCTAAATCGGCCAAGCGGAGTCGATTGCCGAAGAGAAATGGAGGCGGCGAGATCGGGAATGCGCCGAAAAAAAGTTCGGCATGATCCGAACTGATTTTTATTTTATTTCTCCTTTCTTTAGCCTTTTCTTTATGCGCTGAAACGTCGTTTTAGACTCAGAACCAGAAGCGTTTTTTTAAAAAAAGTTTTTTTCGCCGCGGGAGAACCAATTCGCCTTTACCGCGGAACCCGCCCGCAGTCCAGCACGCAGAGACGCGATAATGAGGCCGTTTTTTCTCCTGCTTTCTAGCGATTTTTCGCACGAGCTCTATCAACACCCCTGCCGTGGATTCAGACTCGGACCACCAAGGTGTGTTGCGAGTTGACAAGAGATAGGAGCTAGCTCCCCCACCGAGTGCTTTGGGCCGGAGGGTATTGGAGCACATCGGTGGGCCTCAGGCGCTCAGCTTGAAGTGCAGCACAACATTGACACAAGGTGGGAGGGTGATCACCCCCTTAGCTGGAGCTGGTGTGCTTACTGCTGTAGAAGGGGATGGCAAATGCGGGTGGAACGCGCTGCGTGCGGGTCTGCAAGTCTGCCTGGGTAGAGCGAGGACTCCCAACGAGCAGTAAATGCGTGCAGCGGTCGCCCGTAGAGCCATGGAACATGTTATCGGCGCACCCACCCGATGTCCCTGAGGACTCGACAGCGGTACTCTCAAAGGACCAACTTGGGCGGGGCCTGAGTGTGAAGGTACCGCATGTTTTAGGGGATGTCGAACACGGGATGGCCGCGGAGGATATGACGGTTAGGTGGTTTTACGATCTAGCCTGGCAAAGTGCGGAGAAGTGGGTTGACGTTACCTGGATGTCCTTCCTGGCCTCGCAGTACAGGGTGAACATCATGGTGCTGGAGCCAAGCGCTAAGCACGGCACAGTCCAGGCGTACTCAGGAAACAACACGGCANTGACGGTTAGGTGGTTTTACGATCTAGCCTGGCAAAGTGCGGAGAAGTGGGTTGACGTTACCTGGATGTCCTTCCTGGCCTCGCAGTACAGGGTGAACATCATGGTGCTGGAGCCAAGCGCTAAGCACGGCACAGTCCAGGCGTACTCAGGAAACAACACGGCAGGCATGTTCTTGTTCGAGGAAGAAGGTTCGAGAAAGAAGACAAAATGGACGAGGAAGGAGATCACTGGGTGCATCTACTCTATCGAGAGCACGCGAATCCATGGCTAGCGCGTAATCAAAACCTCAAGCACTTCGACCGTCTGCAGCTTAAACACGATGCAGTTCCTTCCTTCGTCGAAGTCGTTACATCAGCGAAGCTGCAACTAGGCACGGTGACGTTGATGCCGTCAGCGATTTACACAGCAGGCGTGGAGGCGGGAGGGTCCTCAATGGTAGGCGGAGACGAGGAGGACCATCCCGAGTTCAGCATGGGACCTCTCCCCCGAAGCAGCAAGAGCAGTAGCAGCAGCAGCGGGAAGGAGGGGAGAAAGGCTGGAGCGGGAAAGGAAAAGAAGGGGAAGATCGGGCCGAAGGCCGTGGTGAAGCGACCTACCGCGGGGCAGACAGCGGACAACAAGAAGCTCAAGGGGAGGGATGCATCAGGGAAGCACACGGCCGGGGTTGCGCCAGGGGATGGGAGAGGTGCTAACAAAAAAAAGGCAAAACTACACCGACCGGTGGGAGGAAATCCTCGAAGGCCAACGGCAAAGACGACAATGCCAACTATGATCCCGACGGCAGCATCGGGGGGGGGGGACGTAGACCACAAGCAAACCCCGGGCGCCTTCGCTACCATGTCGCAGAACCGGAAGAAGCTGGTCACGGCCATGAACAAGATTCCGGAGCGGGGTTACAAGCGGGCGTTCTGGCTGACCACCAAGAGAAGGGCGCTGGGTATGAAGGTACGTTTGTGTTCGGGTAGGCACTTCTGTTAGCACTGTCCGCACGAACAGGCGGATCAAAGAGAAGACGATAGAGATGATGGTAGTGTAAACTTTAGAGTAAAAAAATGAGTGCGCATCGCTAAATACTACTTCCGTTCCACAATGAACAAACGCGTGTCAAGGTATGCACTTCCGTTCGGCTTGTTTTGTCGCTTGCCTCGAAGAAATAGGTTCTTTACGCGTTGGCTAATTGACACCTTCCTTCCTGGTTGCTTGCATGATCGTTAGCACTGTTGATGTCGACGCCTCCGGACCAGGCTGCTGTTGTTCTGCACGGGTGTGGTTTACATTGTTGGCAGCGGGCGACGAACGTTGAGTTCAGAGGTAGTATGTAAATGCACGTGCGTGACCCGCCCGCCCTGCCTGCCTATGTTATTACCCCTCGCTCCTTGGTTTCGTCGGTGTTGGTGACACCGTAGCGTCGTGCGTCATTCTCTTTTTGCCCATTGGACACAACACTCAGGGGGGTAAATTGACACACCTACCGCGTTGAATCCGCCGTCGACACTGTTTGTCAATGACGTATTCAACACAGCTCAAGAAGATCGCCGACGAGGAGAAGGCGAGGCTCAAGAAGGCGGATGAGAGAAAAAAAAAAACAGCATCGACCACGCGAGGAGGTGGAGGAGGAGGAGCGGCGGGAGAGGGAGGAGCTAGAGGAGCAGCAGCAGCAGCAGGAGGAGGAGGAGGACGAGGACGAGGACGAGGAGGACGAGGAGGTCGTGTGGACGGACCGCGGCATTCCTGACTTTGCGGGGACAGACGACCACAAGAAAAGAACCCAGCGGGAGACGGTCAGCGCTGCCTCGCTGTCGGCGTCCGCGCGCGAGAAACTGCCCTCTCTCGATACCTTCATGGACAGCCTCGACGGGTCCGGCAAGTTCCCGCTACATGGGTTGATGATGACGTGCTTCGACATGATGTTCCCGGACGAGGCGGTTGATCTTTTTGTTGACAAGGTGAACATTGGTCACACTGCCCGAAAGTAGATCCAATCGTATCATTTCTTCAAGCACGCAGGTATTGCCGGTGGTGACGCATACATCGAGCGAGTGAAGAGCTCCAGTCGGTGTTGTGTATCATGCTTGTGGTTTGCAAGAGACTATGGAAGCTCGCGTTAGGACTACCTTACCAAATCAGCTCCCCACCTGCCACGCGGGGCCCCCATTGAACAGTGATACATACACCTCCGCAAATAACAAACTGTTGAAAATGGGTACTACGTAGGTGTGCAACAAAATAGTTTATTGTGCGCCCTTTCAATGTTGTTGACCTTCCAAGACGCCTGCGGACAGAGTATGCAGAAGAAGAAAAGGTGAAGTGGACATGTTGGTCTGCCACGGCTTCGGCCAGTGACAACACCTCCTCGTGTATATTCGGCGCGTCGGCGCGACCTCTAGTGCGAATACCATGCTGATCGTTTCGTTCCTTCGTCTTGTTGTTCCTGTCCTCTTCCGCGCGAAACGTGGTCTATTCGCAAACCAACAAGTACGTGAACCTTCGCACCACGCCACCACTCCCGGGAGCGAAGGACACGCGGAGAGCGCATCAGGTGAAGGGCGAGAACTCTCGGCATGGTCACGCTGCCCGAACCCGCATTCGAGCGGAAGCACATCTACGGTATGCTTGGCATCACGATCACGATGTGGCTCACGAAGAAAACGCACACGAGGAAGCACTGGAGTAGGCCGCTACACGACGACTATCCTTGAGTGAGGGGGTGCATGTCGCGCGACTTGTTCGAGCTGTTGTACTGCCGTTTCATCCACTGCTCGGACGGCAACGCTCCTCCTCGTTGGACGGGCGAGGACAAGACCCCGAACCGAGAGTTCGATTCGAAGTGGCACATCAGGTTAGTTCAAATCCTCGTTGGACTTCAGGCCTTCTGACTGTAATTTGATTGATCTTTTTGCAACAGCTGGTATGGTAGCAGGTCGTGGAGTTGCCGATGACTCTATCCTTCCACTTCGAGTATTGGCAAGTTCTTCGAGCTTTGGTAGTGTGTTAATGGGCAAAGAAGGAACTCTAGAGAGTCGGCGGGGCTTACACTCGCGGGTGACAGAGAAATACAAACGTCAAGTTTTTGGGTTGGGGCTTAGGGCTAGAAATACTGAAACGAGAGTCGGAGGCCAGCCGCACCGCGACGCAAGAACCCTTGGGTGACCCTACGAGATGCCACTGCCCTGTCGGGCTGCCCTAGTAGCGAATGGGTGGAGGTAGTTGTGGCGTCTACAAAAGTACACTTGCCTTTATTCCTGCACTTTTCCCTCTCTCTCGCACTCTCTCCCGCCTTGTCTTTTGTGTGGTGAAAAACACAATGTCGAAACGGAACCTGGGACTGGCAGACCGGCGAGTAACGTAGCTCCCAGACCCAAAAGGGTTCAGCATGTCGTGCAACAAAAAGTAGATATCATTGTCCTCCGCCATCCGCCCCCCGCGTCAAATACTGGAGGCTGGCACCATCGTACGGTTGGGACTATCATAGCAACGGATTCGCGTGGTTAGTGTGTAATTCACAGGGTGTACGTTCGCATGTCCATTGATGTCCCACACATTTTTCACACCATTGTAACTAACAGAACACCTCCCTGCAAATTCGTCTTTCATTTCTGAACGTCGCTTCACCGGCAGAGAGCTGGAAGACATCTTGAACAACGCATGGACGGAAAATATGTAGTTCTACCAGTGGCTGTGCTACGATGAGCAGATGGTGAAGACCGTGTCGACGTTCGCGCACTACCTCATGAGACACAGCCCCAAGAAGCCCATCACCCACGGTACGGGTTCGTGTATGGTGACGTATAGGATAATCCTAGCGAGTCTGATCCTGTTTTTGTGCCGGACATCCGTTGCGAGGACTCCGTGGATAGTTAGTTATAGTTTGTTTTGTTATTGTTGTTGTTTCTCACATTTGCTCTATAGCCCACAAAAATGGGGAGCCCGTGGTCGCAAAAACAAGGCACATGCGACACCGCGGGGAAACAAAACAAAAACAGGGTACAAATCACTCGGAGCAGTGTCGAAACCTTGTATTATTTTCGGTTTTGAAGAACCTCATGTAGTGGGAATTGTGTTTTTTTGGTTGACCCCGCCCCCCTTGCGTGGACAATGTAAAACAAATACTTGGTAACTCCAAATTATCTGGGGAGGGATGAATGGTAGTGGTGTTCACCAATGAAGAAACGACACAGACATACACACGCTCAGCAGTAAACCTCGCACTCCATCGTCCACACTTGCGACGTGTCCATTCAGTGGCATTCAGATTGCATCTTTGGTCCTAGTGATGCCATTTTTAGCGGAACGTTGCGGCATCCCCTCGGGAATGCATAGGTCTCAAGTACGACCTCTGCATGTGCTTGTTTTGTTTATCTCGGGGGGGGGGGGGG